ATGTATGGATACATATCTGTGATGCGCATGAGTCCGGCATGCATCGGGCCAACTGACCTGCCGAGTGGACTGCCCTTTTTATATGCTAGTGAACGCTCCCACGAAAGGAAGCTGGGATGTTTTGAGTTGTGTTCTTGGAATCTCTTAGAATGTTTCCAAATGTCTGCACGACCTAATCTCTTAAGACATCGCTTTTGCTCAGCTACCAGGTGGCAACGAAAACGTGACAACCATGGCACTTTTGATACCAGGAGACCACAAAGCAAACGCCATATGAAGGCAACAGCATGTTTTGGATAATGTAACACTGTCAGAGTAGAACTAGCTTGGCAAACGTCCGACGATGCCCGTCTGTTTCAGTTGGAGCCATTCCAGCCGTCGGCTCCCTGCACTCGACCTTCAACAGGCTGTCGCTATCCGCTTATCCCGCCATCTTCCAATCCATCAGCGCCACCGTCGCTGCTGTAAGTCCGATGATGGCACACTCATCTCCTTGTTTGCTGTTAAGCTGAAATTCTACCTAAGCCATGCGTTCTCGGTATTCCAACCAATCATTTCGTTAGGTTCTGCATCTTATAAGACAGGGATTGCAGACGCTCTGTTTGTTATGAACGCTACGAGGTGCGTTCGCTCTCAATACATTACAGCAAGTGAGCCGCCTGCACGAGGGAAAAACGTTAAGAATATTTGTACACTTCCATATTTTCATGTTTGATATGACGCCAGGTTGCTGTTGATACCTGCATCGTTCCATATGTTCGCAAGTCTCGGCCTTGCCCTGGCTGGTATCAGCATCACAGTGCTGCCATTTGTCCGTATCCTCAGTGTGAAGGGTGTTGTAAGCACCAGCACCGTGTGGTTATTTCGCCAGCCCACATACACGGGTGCCAGTCTGCTGCCCGTGCTCTCCGGTATCGGCTTGCCGCGCTTCTATCAGCCTCAAGCCTCGCTCGGAGGACTGAGTGCCTATCTGCGCCACGCCGGAATCGTGCAGCGTAATTTCATCAGGCAAATCAGCAGGATCACCCGCAACACCATCAGAAGGTTGATCCACCCGTTCGTGGTAAGTGCAGAGACTCGACAAATTTTCCCACGAAAGATAAACGCCTGTACCCATGCCGTGGCGGATAATCCAAATTTTTGACTATCCAGGCCACATGGAACCAGGTGCAAGTGACACAGTCTGGTGTGACGCGACCTATCAGTGCGTAAACATCGGTCAGTCTATTTTCGTTGGCTGATCTTCGGGAAGGGCGAACGGGGGGATGATCTCGTATTGGCGGTTTTACAGAAGCAGTATTCGGGGGCGATCCGCTCGGACCTGCTGTCCCTGGCTGCTGTCCGGTACCTCACCTTGCCGCAAGCCATCCGGTCTAGGGTGTCGTTCCAGTCGGTCTTCCCCAGCTACTACAGAGCTCATGTCAAGGCAAGTGGTTTACCCCGACCGTTGAATTATCAATGCAAGCTGGTAGGCTTGGACGTAAACCTTCCTGAAACGTTTACAAAATTTGGAACTGAATTGTCAGAAAATCCAAACGGGTCGCTAACCAGTGCGTACGACAGATTAGAAACAGGTAGCGGTTGGCTACATAAACAACTCTGTGGTTAGCAGGTGTTTTCGACAATGGAAATCTTGCCCGCGAAGACCTCTGGCCTCAACCTGACTGAGCCAGCGTTCTCCGCGGTACCACCTTCGTGTCGGGGGTGTGCAACGTATAGAGTGCACTATGCCATGTATCCTATCCGGAGTATGCAACATCCGGAACGGGCCATTTCATTCATCAGATCCAGAGTCTCCCACGTCCGGAGTGTACCATGTCATTTATCAGATCCAGAGTCTTCCATGTCCGGAACTACGTCATTTATCACACCCACAGTGTGCGTGTTGTTTATCGAATCATGTCATAGCGCGTATCACAGGACGTGCAAGGCTAGGACCGTCAGCACGGTTTGGCGTTCCAAGGGGCATGGACGCTCGTTACCTGCCAGACTCACCAAGTTTTTTTTCAGGCTTCTCCGAGGAGGCTCAGCTCCAGCTACGTCTCCAGCTACCTGAGCGGCTTCAGTCGGCACGTCTTCAGGCGCCACCCGAAGTACTCTGGCAAGCGCTGGTGGTAGACAACGGCAAGACTTGACAGGTCAACGACCATGTCGGCCGAACAGATGAATACTTGTTTCGGTTTCTGTGCGGATTATCATTCGGTCAGGTTTACAATGAAAACTTGAGTCTTGTCGATTACTCTGCACGGTTGTCAGAAAATACATATTCATTGTTCAGGTCATGTTATATGTTACAGACAGTCAGTGGTGGAACAAGTATATTTTCCGCCGCGAACCAAAATCCATGCAATGGAGTTGTCGGCAGGAGCTTAGCGCAGCATCTTAGGACATAAGATGACAATGAAACCCATGACCAGAGGCGTGACCCGGGGCCGATGCGTCGCTGATAATCAGCGAAAGTCGATCTCATCAGCAACATTTTTGACACCATTCACCCACAAACAAAGCGCACAGCCATACAGACAGATATGGAGAAACAGAAATAAAGCCAGTCAGATATGGTCATTTCTTAATTTGAAGCAAATGAGGCAAGGTAGGATGCAAAGACACTACAAAAAGTCGGCGACCAATTCTTCAAGGCTGGACACAATCGAGGCATTTGTTAGATAACACGGGTATATAGGACCATACAGGGCACGGAGAGGGGTTCCGGCTTTGACACACTAGTACGGAAGGAAGGAAGAACAACCGCATGACACTAGAAGCAAATATTTTCATCAAGCCAAATAACAATGGCACAGTCTCGTGCTGCAAATATGCGCATCCAACTTCACAACTGAACAGCGTATAATTCCAAATGTTTCAGAGGCCTCCGAACAATCCGCCAAGTGGTGTAAAAGAAAGACAGAACATAGAGAAAATTAAGTTTTGCTGTTGGGTTAATGGATATTCCCAACTACTTTTAGGATTAATGCTAAAAGAGGTTAATCCAGAACACGTGAAGGGATGGGTGGTGGGAAACAGAAGCACGCCCTTCCGGACGATGGATTCCTAACACCCATGAAATAGGTGAACACTATCTTTGGGAAACCAACCATATCACAAGGAAGTTAAAACTGCGCCTACCCATAACCCCGATGAACAACAAGCTAAGTATGTTTAAAAAGTGATCTCCGAGAGGATCATTCCGTTTTTGTTGCTCGTTAGCTATTGTTAGTTGTAAGTTTTTAGGGGCGTCTTAAATGCGATGGTTATTTACGCCCTGGTTTGGTGATCGCCTCTCGGAGGTATTCATTATATATCAGACGAAATAGGCGCATGGACTTGCCGACGCACAGCATGTCCCTCTCATGTTTTTTGGAGGGCGCAGTTTTCATTTGATTTTTAGACCATCTTTTTTGCGTGCAAAGCCCAGGAAACACTGACTGGTACAACGGGCACCTTCCCCCGGGCACTTAGGCTTCGAGATGGAATATTTCACCATCAACGTTTTTATCTTAATGTCCTTCGCCTGGGTTATGCGTACGTGCAGTTTTGATTTTCTAATGGCATGTTTGACTTTCCAAATGAAGTGTTAATTTATGTCATGGGTGTTAAGAACTCGTCTGACAGGGCGTGTTTACGTTTTTTACCGCCCATCCAATAGCGTGATCTGGATTTTACCCCGTTTAGTATTAACCCTAAAAGTTGTTGGGAGTACTGATTAAGCCACAGCAAAGAACTATCTATGCTCTGTCTTTCTTGTTCGCTGCTTGATGAATTGTCTAAAGCCCTGTGGAATGTATTTGGAATTATACGCTGTTCAATTTTAAGGTTGGATGCGCATATCCGCAATACGAGATTATACCATTGTTGTTTGGCTTGATAAAAAGCTTTGCTTCTAGTGGCATACGGCTGTTCTTCCTTCCGTCCGTCACTAGCGTGTCAAATGTGAGATTCCCTCTCCATTCCCTGTAGGCTCCTATATCCCTGTGTTATCTAACAACCACCCCGATTGTGACCAGCTTTGAATGATTGGTTGCCGACTCTTTGTAAGATACTTGCATGCTACCTTGCCTCACTGGATTCAAATTATGAAATGGCCTTACCTGACTGGTGACCTGTGTTTGCTGAGCGTCAGATAAGAATGTGACAGAGATGGTACAGGACTTCATAGCTACATGATTTAATATTTGTATCAGCCCAGTGCATCATATTTGCAATGCGCCCTCGTCATATTTTCCACCAGAATGTGCTCGTTTGCCTTCACAGCTTGGTAGGCCCAATCGTAAACATAATATTTTCTTTTCTGCTTTGCGCACAGCGCAGAACCCAGTTTAGTTTTACCGACCACTGGACCCCGCTGAGAGGTACTCACCATACCAAACAATTCGCAGCAAGCATGGAGCATGCCGGAGAGGTTGCTGGGTAGCATGGCGGTAGGCGGAGTCGTGCCGCAAGCTGGATTTTTTTAAGTTAACATCGCTTCGTGGAGACGCAAATAATGAACCTCGTTCCCCAAAGCCGCCTGCCAATGATTCCAATTATGTGTTGTATTCAGATGCCACCGGTATCGGATGCTTCATGACGTTTTCTTCCAGATGAGGAAAGACAATGCGATCGTTGATGGGGCTAAAAAGTACTGAGGCTACTGCTGCTGACTCCACACAGTCCCGATAGTTGAAGAAGCCTGCTGTTCTGACGGGACTTACACACAGTCTTGGCCTGGCGTGTCTTTGTTCTTAGCAGCAGCAACTGCTCCTGGCATTAACTGAATTCCAGTGTATGGATGTGCGCTTCGTTTATCTGTACATGTTATTGAAAATATCGCACATGAGATAGAACTTCGCTGATTATAAACGACGTGCCGGATTTGGGTTATGCCTATGGACGTCGGTTTCATTGTAAAATTCTGCCCTAACGTACTGCGTTATGCTCATGGCGACAAGTCTCTTGCATGGATTTTGGTTCGCGGAGGAAAATATACTTCTACCGCCACTGACTGCTTATAACACATAGCATAGCATAACGGGTAAATATGTATTTTCCGACAACCGTGCAGAGCAGTAGACAAGACGCCAGTTTTCATTGCAAATTTGACCGAATGGTAGTCCGCACAGAAACCGAAACAGGTATTCATCTGTTCGGCCGACATGGTCGTTGACCTGTCAAGTCTTGCCGTTGTCTACCACCAGCGCTTGCCAGAGTACTTCGGGTGGCGCCTAAAGACGTGCCGACTGAAGCCGCTCAGGTAGCTGGAGACGTAGCTGGAGCTGAGCCTTCTCGGAGAAGCCTGAAAAAACACTTGGTGAGTCTGGCAGGTAACGAGAACCCATGCCGCTTGAAACGTCAAACCGTGCTGACGGTCCTAGCCTTGCACGTCCTGTGATACGCCATATGGTATGATTTAATTATTGACATGCATGCCCTGAGCCAGGTACACTCTGGATGTGATAAATGACGTAGCACACTCCGGAAGTGGGAGAGTCTGGATCTGATAAATAAACTAGCACATTAAGGACGTTGCACACTCCGAATCGGATACATGGCGTAGTGCACTCTATACGTTGCACACTCTCCAACCACCGACACGAAGACACCGCGGAGAACGCTGGCTCAGTCAGGTTGAGGCCAGAGGTCTTCGCGGGCAAGATTTCCATTGCCGAAAACACCTGCTAACCACAGAGCTGTTTATATAGCCAACTCCTACATATTTTTCATCTGTCGCACGCGCTGATGAACGACGCGTTTGGATTTTCTGGCACTTCAGTTCGAAAGTTTGGAAACGTTTCAATGAACGTTTGCTTCAAAACTTACCAGTTTGCATTGACAAGTCATCAGCAATGCTTAAACACTTGCCTTGACATGAGCTCTGTAGTAGCTGGGGAAGACTGACTGGAACGACAACCTAGACCGGATGGCTTGCGGCAGGGTGAGGTACCGGACAGCAGCCAGGGACAGCAGGTCCGAGCGGATCGCCCCCGAATACTGCTTCTGTAAAACCGCCAATACCAGGTCATCACCCCGTTCACCCTTCCCGAAGATCATCCAACGAAAACAGACTGACCGACTTTACGCATTGACAGGTCGCGTCACACCAGACTGCGCCACTTGTATCTGGTTCCATCTCACTTGGCTAGTCAAACATTTGGATTACCCACCACGGCATGGGCACAGCCGTTCATCTTTCGTGGGAAAATTTGTCGAGTCTCTGCACTTACCACGAACGGGTGGATCAACCTTCTGATGGTGTTGCGGGTGATCCTGCTGATTTGCCTGATGAAATTACGCTGCACGATTCCGGCGTGGCGCAGATAGGCACTCAGTCCTCCGAGCGAGGCTTGAGGCTGATAGAAGCGCGGCAAGCCGATACCGGAGAGCACGGGCAGCAGACTGGCACCCGTGTATGTGGGCTGGCGAAATAACCACACGGTGCTGGTGCTTACAACACCCTTCACACTGAGGATACGGACAAATGGCAGCACTGTGATGCTGATACCAGCCAGGGCGAGGCCGAGACTTGCGAACATATGGAATGATGCAGGTGTCAACAGCAGCCTGGCGTCAAATCAAGCATGAAAATATGGAAGTGTACGAATATTCTCAACGTTTTCCTTCGTGCGGGCAGCTCGGTTGCTGTAAGTTGCTTGAGATATTAAGAGCGAACGCACCTCGTAGCGTTGATAACAAACGGCACGTCTGCATTCCCTTTCTCAAAAGATGCAGAACCTAATGAGGTGTTCGGTTCGAGTGCTCAAGAGCGCATGGCTTGAGTTGTAATGCAGTCTTACAGCCAAGAAGTAGATGATTGCACCATCATCGGACTTACAGTGGCGATGGAGGCTCTGATGGATTGGAAGACGGCGGGATAAGCGGGTAGCGACAGCCTGTTGAAGGTCGAGTGCAGGGAGCCGACGGCTGGAATGGCTCCAACTGAAACAGACGGGCATCGTCGGACGTTTGCCAAGCTAGTTCTACTCTGACAGTGTTACATTATCCAAAACATGCTGTTGCCTTCATATGGCGTTTGCTTTGTGGTCTCCTGGTATCAAAAGTGCCATGGTTGTCACGTTTTCGTTGCCACCTGGTAGCTGAGCAAAAGCGACCAAAAGCGATGTCTTAAGAGATTAAGTCGTGCAGACATTTGGAAACATTCTAAGAGATTCCAAGAACACAACTCAAAACATCCCAGCTTCCTTTCGTGGGAGCGTTCACTAGCATATAAAAAGGGCAGTCCACTCGGCAGGTCAGTTGGCCCGATGCATGCCGGACTCATGCGCATCACAGATATGTATCCATACATCACATCCCGATCTGGTGTACATATTTCCGGATGCAACAACTCACAGTGGTGACCATGGAAGCCCAGCACACGTGTGCTGAAGAAGGTGTTGAAGCTGGACACGGACACGGGGCGGTACTGCTGTGCGGCCAGGCGGATGTCGAGGAGAGCCAGAGGCACCTGCAACAGAATACCGACACAATGACGCTCAGCTGGGATGCAGCAGTGCAGCAAGCATGGTCTGCCCTTTGAAAACAAGAGTATAGGCCTTCCTATAAGTGTTGCTCATCTAGCAACAGGCAACAACTCAGAACTAGTTGAAGAAAAAAAGTCTAGAAAGAACTGGAAAGAAAAATCACCAATTATTTTGTATTTTACGCACGAATTGTCGCGACTTATAAAACGGTCTTGAGCATTACGACCGACAGAAAAATTCATCCTATCATTGTCAGCTCCTTTTTGGTGTTTCACAGAGCATCGCGGCGTGCCAGTTGTGAACAACCTAATCATGACGAGCTAGGCAATATTCTAGCCATTATGCGATCTCCGACAATTGCAGCGCTACAAAGTCGTATTTGCGGTGTGTAAAATTCCAGGCTGTACTCACGATGACACCGCCCCAGTGCGGGTACTTGTATCTGCCCAGGTACGATCTCAGTCCGCTGAGGTAAGAACCTTGGTAGAACGGAGACGGCAGAGCCCCGAACACAGCCCTCAAGAACACCAGGCGGCCAGACAGGGCCGGGATCTGCGCAAACGCATGTCTTATCTCAGAGCCATTGAGTCAAAGACGGATGGCACTGAACGCATGTCACATAGCACAAGATGTTGGTGAAGCCAACAATAGAGCAAGCAGACATTGCTCAACAGGTCCTGCAAGTAAATTACTAGAACAACAGAGCAGGGAGACATTGGTCCAAAGGCACCGCAAAAACATTGCTAGCCGTGTAAAGTAGATAAAAGACAAAGACATAATGTACACATCGGACATCGCGGCAAGATAATGTTTTGTCTGGAAGTTTCAGAACAACATGTACAGTTCGCAAAGTGAGCTCTGTCATACGTTAACAAGCAGACGACTGGCTGCAGAAAATTCTAATTGCCGCGAAGTTCAAGCCACCTTAAGGGGAGAGTGACATGTCCCGCCACATTTCAGCCTGTGTAGACTCTGGTAGAAGATAGGTGTACGATGCGAGCAGACCAAGGAACAGAATATTCCTGGTGAGCTGAGAAGTGACGTAGGTGGCCGCTGCCAAAATCACCATACGCTTACGGCGGTATACTCACGCTGTGGTACTTGATCTGGCTGTAGATGGGCAGCTGCTGTTGACTGAGGATGTAGCGGATGATGTAGGCAGCCGGCAGGCCGGGCAGACTGCTATAACGCCTCTGCACCAGCTGGATGGCCGCGCTATAGTGGCTGGGACTCAGCAGGCCTCCGAGCACAGCGCCATACGGGTTGGGCCGAACGATGATCTGCCCGAGGCCATGGCCGTGGCCGTGGCCGTGGTTATGAGCGGCTGCCACCGCCGCCAGGGCGACCACCAGAACGGTGCGGAACATGGCTGCTCTGCTGCTGTCGGTATTGCTCGGCCTCAGACCGTGCTACGAGCTGCTGACGGCTGGTGCCCGCTTTTATACGCGCACAGGGCGCACCTTTGCGCTCGTGTCAGCGCCACGCGCGTGGGCGCGGACCGGGCGAGTGACGAGGGTGACGGCACCAGGTCTGTCACCCTTGCAGAATGATGTTTGAAAAGTGCAAGCTGGCCTATGTGGCGTTGTTCTTTTTGCAATTGTAGACAGTATCTGATGATAAGTTTTTTCTGAGACGCTAGCAGATTACCGGCAAGCTCAAATTTTGAAGGCGCATTTGATTTAACACGGTTATGTTTAGTATTGAGGTTTTACGTAACCAACATAGATCGACGCATAACAAGTTCACAGTTGTCATACTGTGAGACAATTTCCAACTTGATAAGATAGAGGTATGCAACAATTAAAATCTTGTCCTGCCGGGATTGAGTCGACTGTATGCGAAGTAAACGCGATGTTGATTTTTTGGGGTTTTATTTTCGTTCTGTCTTGTTATCAAAATTGCGAGTTTAGACCACAAGCATTGCATAGATGGGGGCAGGGTGCACATTGTCGTAGTGAAAGGGTAGGATAAGTTGGAAGTCATTGTCCCTTCTGGGTCAAGATGTTCTATGTGTTATATACGAGTATGATGTCATATTACATGACGATGAATGAATGGGTGATATAGGCGTGTCCAGTTTTCTAAAAGAGAGTAGTACTTGCACACGGCTGGGTTGTAGCCCACTGCTGCGTTCGTCAGCTGCTGACAATCATTAACTGTCAAGCAGCTGTCCATTGCTGTCAGCCATAGCGTTGACTGGTCATAGTCTTTGTGTGATAGATGGCTATCTCCTTTTGCCCATCCGGGCTTGCCCCTGGAAAAGTTTTAAAATGTTGTGTAGTGCAAAGAAGTCGGGAAAATATGCATGCCTACATTTGCCGTTATGCGTAACCGTCGGGACGTGCCGAGGTTTCAGTTTTAACTTCGAACTAAGACTGGAGTTCCTTTCCTCGAAAGAGATAAAAAAAACTCTGCACACGCTGTTAGAAATGCTTTACGCTTTTGAATGACTGTTTCGATTTTGTTTTTGGAGTGCTAAGGTATTCTGCGGGTCTTCTGTATATTCAAAGGTAGATCCAGTAACCGTGGATGCTCTGCACATTTGTCACACCCACCTCAAGGATAAATTTCGGCTTCAAAGCTGTTGGAAGAGCCAAAACTGTACAAAACAGCTGGAGGTGTGCACGACAAACATACAGGAACAAAATAAGTTTATCCGTGATAGTCGGGCAGATATTGTGGCGTGACAGTTCACTGTCAAATCTAGTTTCTTTTATTCGCCCCTCTTGTAGAACAGGTAACATGTTAAGCACCAGTCCGTCAGGAGATTACAGTTTACATGGTGTCCCATTGGGAAGTTAAGTTCATTGTTGTTTGTTTTGTTTATATTAAACACTTGACGGAAGCATCATGTCTTGCACCATGCAAACTGTGTTGTTAACTGGCTGGATCTATCTATCCTCCAACTGTTTAACACGTAATGCCACTTTTGCTAATCCCAATTATATGACGCCTGCCTGCGCCGTTGTTGAAATTTCAAACACCATAAAATGCTAGCTGTGCTGGATGTGCTCAATGTAGCCTTTTTGCCTTAACGGCTCTGAGACAAAACATGTGTATGCGAAGATCCCAGCCCTGTCTGGCCGCCTGGTGTCCCTGAGTTCTGTGTTCGGAGCTCTACCGTCTCCGTTCCACACGGACTCTTACCTCAGCGGACTGAGATCGTACCTGGGCAGATACAAGTGCCCGTATTGGTCTGGTGTGCTCGTGAGTATAGCCTGGGTTATTCCACCCGCAGAGTATTATAGTAAAGCGCTGTAACTTTTCAACATAGAGCATTGCCCATATTGTCCACAGAGCAATATAATTTGTATATATATGCATATATATATATATATATATATATATATATATATATATATATATATATATATATATGTATATATACATATATATATATATACATATATATATATATGTATATATACATATATATACATATATATATATATACATATATATATATATATATATATATATGCGTGTGTGAATTTGAACAATGCAGACAGCTTATTTATTCATCTAACTAATTGAGGCCTTGAGAATTTCTATCCACCTCGTTGAACGAAATATTCTCGACAGCTTTAAAAGGTACACAATTTTTGTGTCATATGAAATGTGATTGGTGACTTTTGCAGTTGCGAGTTTATATAATTGAGTAATACCTAAACGAATGCCTATTTCTTTGTTTCCGAGAGGCAGGCCACGCTCGCAGCACAGTGTATTCTAAATGAATACCACTGTGTTTGCATTCTGTTGCAGGCGCCTCTGGCTCTCCTTGACATCCGCCTGGCCGCACAGCAGCACCGGCCCGTGTCCGTGTCCAGCTTCAACACCTTCTTCAGCCACACGTGTGCTGGGCTTCAATGGCCACCACTGTAAGTCATTATATCCGCAAACATGAACACCGGATGTGCGTGTCACATGCGGATGCATGTACATGATGTACGAGAACTGGTAAATATCTCGTCTCATCTGTGCCCTGCCATGACCTGCTGATAAGCCACTGGTCGTTTTAACGACGGACAAGTGCAAACTCTTTTATTTTTAATAGAAATTCAGCAAAAAATAAAGCTGTTGGACGTATTCAGGCGTTCAAACGTTAGGCGTACCCGACAACAAACGTGTAGTGAAACATCTAATTTCCTGACAACTGCTGCACCAGAGGACCACAAAAGACGTCAGTTTCAGGAAATAGGAGCATCGAGGCATCGCAACAATTTCAGAGTGACTCAAGGTGAAAATTAACCAATGCGGCGGTCTTTGTTGCAGTCGGAGCAACCCCCGCCGCCGGCTATCCGCACTCGCTTTTCAACTCGCTGTCGGTGTCCGCGCACCCCACCGTCTTTCAACCGATCTCTTCCTCCACCAGTGCCGTAAGTCTCATCCCATGTAGCAAGCTGTTAAGATCTACCTCGCACTGGCATGTGTTTGTAGCTTCCACAGCCAACCGGCAGGGTTGTTGGTGCCCGGTCTCGGCCATGTCGACAGTCTCAGTTCCGTGGCGGCTGTCACAACCATTACGGCGCAGGTCGCGGTGCCCTAGCCCCGTAACACGGGCAGTCACGGCCACCATTACCAGCATCACGTTGTTGGTCTCAAATATCGTTGGGAATAAGTTTGTCTGTATCAACACCATGTGGTTATTTCGCCAGCCCACATACCCGGGTGCCAGTCTGCTGCCCGTGCTCTCCGGTGTCGGCTTGCCGCGCTTATATCAGCCTCAAGCCTCGCTCGGAGGTCTGAGCGCCCACCTGCGCACCACCGGGATTTCCCAGCCTACGATCGTCAGTCAAATCAGCGGGATCACTCCGGCTTCCATGAAAGGTTGATCCACCTGTACCCATGCCATGGTAGGTAATCCAAATGTTTGATTAGCCAAGTCAGATGGAGCCAGAGACGAGTGACACAGTTTGGTGTGATGCGATCTATCAATGCGCAAACATCGGTTGATCTATTTTCGTTTTCATGATCTTCGGGAAGGGCGAACGGGGTGATGACGTGGTGATGACGCTTTTGCAGAAGCAGTATTCCGGGGCGATCCGCTCGGACCTGCTGTCCTTGGCTGCTGTCCGGTACCCTGTCGCAACTAATCCAGTCCGGAGTGTCGTTCCACTCGGTCTTCCCCAGCTACTTCAGATATCACGTCAAGGCAAGTGCTTTAGCACTACTTTTGAATTGACAATGAAAACTGGTAAGTTTTAAAATAAACCTTTTTGAAATTTTCCCAAATTAGGAACGTAAGTACCGAAAGTCCAGATGTGTAGGTAACCGGTGGGTACGACAGATAAGGACTCGTTAACAGTTGGGTATATGAACAGCCCTATGGTTAGCGGGTAGCCTGGGCAGTGAGAGAGAGAGAGAGAGAGAGAGAGAGAGAGAGAGAGAGAGAGAGAGAGAGAGAGAGAGAGAGAGAGAGAGGGGGGGGGGACGGTTTATTGAGAAAAGCATGGCTTCGAGTATCAACTCATATAGCACATGTGCGCAGTATACATATGAAGTAGGATATTACTTAGTTGATAGTACATCTGTGCTTATAAGAGTGGTTATATGGGGAAGTACAAATCTTACCCGTGCAGGGCTATAGCCTTAGCCTTGCTGAGCCAGTGATCTCCGCAGTCAGGTTTATGTCTTCGGTTTTGGGACATGTGTAAGGTCCAGAGTGTACTACGTCACGTATCAAATTCAGAGTCTGCAACGTCCGGAGAGTACTATGTCATATATTAGGTTCGGAATGTGCAAGGTCCAGAATGTATCATGCCAAGTATCAAATAATGCCGAAACGCGTATCGCAGGACGTGCCACGCTAGGGTCGTCAGCACAGTGTTGCTTGTTAGACAGAATAAAAGTCTCGTTACCTACCGTACTCACCAAGCTGCTTTTCTTTCAGGTCCCGAGCAGGCTCAGCTCCAGCTACGTCTGGAGCTACATGAACGGCTTCAGCAGGTACATTTTCAGCCACATCCCGAAGCACTCCGGCAAGCATTGGTGGTAGACAGCACCAAGGCTGGAAAGCTGGACGGGTCAACGACGCCGTCAGCAGAACACATGAATACCTTGTTTTAATTCCTTTACAGGCTTCCATTAAGTCCCGATTACAATGAAATGCTTGCGGGTTGTCGATGACTCTTCTCGGCTGTAGGGAAATACATGCTTGCTTCTTATGCCGTGTTATATGTTATAAGCGGTGACAGGTAGTAAAAGTGTATTTTCTGTGGCCTTCTAAACTTCATGCAAGCACACATCGCCAGCTGCGCAACACAACACCTTTGGATGCAAGGTGCAATTGAATCCACGACCAGCTGCGTAATCCGGCTCCGACGCATCATTGATAATCAGCAATAGCCTCTCTCAAGACTGTCATTTCAATATCATGCGCACAAACCAAGCCCACAGACATACATTC